GCTTCTTTTCGATGAAGTATGTTATATAGATAAATTTAAAGGGCGTAGAGAAAATTACTTTAGCGAAGTTTCATTGAAATCGCTACATTCGTTTAGGCGCTACAGTCTATAGCAACGCAGGTTTTTCGGCCGTCATTTTGAAAGTAAAAGGCGGATAATAATGTCGATGAAGGATGATTATCCTCGGGTGACCTCTGACTTTATATCCAAATTTTAAAAAAAATCGGTCCAGTATTTTCGGAGAAAATGCGCGGACGGCGGACGGACAAAAAAAATTTTATTCGTTTTTTGAATTCTACTCATCCTGAAACGTGAAACTTTTGAGAGGGGGTTAATTTTTTGAATTTTTTGGTCGATCACAATGGTTGATTATTTAAAATAATAAACCAAAAATAGTTTGGTTTAGCAATAATGTTGTTACTAGTCAAGTTAGAGAATTTTGTTTCCCATGTCAAGATCCTGGCTTAAGAGTAACCGTGTATCAATTTTAAACTAAATTGTTTAAAGCTGTTACCTACATAGTCCGTCGTACAGACCCATTTTTATCAAATTATTAACATTGGTCTGAAATTTTCATAAATAACTTTATCTCATCCTTGCACAATCTCTATCCAGCACCACCCATCCTTACAATCCTCCTCGAAGGTTGAAGCGGCAGTGGCCCAGAGACCTTTTGTAAATAAGCATCTATTGGAGTTTTGGCAATGGCCAGATCCTCCACTCAAGCCCGAGTGTGTATGATTAGGTTAGTTCTTTTGTTTATATACATTTATTTTATTTTATTGTATTTATTTTTATTTTATTTTATTGTATTTATTATTATTAAGTTTCTGTATTATTTTTTTTTTTTTTATTGTAAATAGAGTGTGAGTGTGCTTTCTCTGAACACTATTATAAATGTCCTTGATGTGACAGAATGTAATATTTCTAAATAAACAAATATAATAATAAAAAAAAAAATCTCATCGTAACCTACAACTATTTTATTTACGAAAACTCTTGGAATTGGGGCGATTTCAATCTGGAGGTCATTCGCTTTTCACCTAAACCATAAGATAATTTAATAACAAAAATCGTTAAAAAAGGTGGCATACCAAAATATGGGGGCTTTTGGCCTCACAAAATTGGAAAGCAACTTATATGTATATGTGTATATATATATATTATTTTTTTAACCAAGACTGTTCAATTACTCTGTATTTTTATTTATATATCTCTGAGGCTCCTTAGCCCTCATTTCTGTCTTCCTGTATTATTCTAAAGGAACTCGTCCCAGGATAAATAAAGTATTATTATTATTATTATTATATATGAGGAGTAGGTGTTTCATACTTCAATTGATAATGGTGCTTCTTTGGATGCTAAGTCGGCAGCTTCGTTTCCACTTTACCATGTATGATGGTAGACAAGTGTTACGGTTTTATTTAAGACCTCTTTTTATCAAATTATTAATATCCGCCTGAAACTCCGTAAATAGCTTCATCCCATCGTAACCTACAAATATTATATTAACGAAAATTCTCGAAATTAATGAGTTTTCAATCTAGAGATCGGCAAACTTTGTCTCTTTAATTAGATTATAAAATTCATGAATACCGATTTGCTTTCCACTGTAATCGTAAGATAATATGATCACAAAGTCGAAAAAAAAAGGCCTACAAAAATATTGGTATGTTTGGCCTGTATAATCTCGTTATATTGACAATTTGGGAGTGTAGGTCGCGCCAAACGGCTCAATGTTTTTGCAGGTCACCTTTTTTCTCCACTTTGCTGAGATTATCTTACTATTGAAGTGGAAAGCAAATGGATATTTACGAGTTTTTACTACCTTATTAAATAGATAAAATTTGCCGATCTCCAGATTAAAACGCCCCAAATCCGAGAATTTTCGTAAATAAAATATTTGTAGGTTATGATGAGATGAAGCTATTTACGAAGTTTCGGGCGGATGTTAACGATTTGGTAAAAAGGGATCTGTACAACGGAATAACAGTATTTGGTTAATTTTTTTAATTATTTTAAAACGAAATTCTGATTTATATGCCGTCAACATATGTATAAAAGTGGAATTCTCTCAATATATGTTGCAGCACTGGAATTTTTTAGGGGTAGATATTAGTAGATAAAGTAGAAAAAATAATTCCAGAAATTTGTGTTCAACCTGAGATAATGTTTCTTCTTTTTTTCTCCTTTTAATTATCGAATTATTTCTTAGTTTATATTTTTTATTACTTATTATAAAAGTTAGGATTAGCAGAGTTTAAGGACTTCCAAAAGAAACATTTCGATTGGGAATATCTTTTCATAGATGGGTGAAAAACTCAAGATGGAGTTGGTGCAAATGTTCTCATTACCCCCTTGTTGCACTTCTTACCATGCAGAACTGTTTGCAATAAATCGTGCCGTTTGTAGTCTCAACTGCAATAAACAGAAAATTTATATTTGTACAACCCTCATACCAGACTTAAACGACAAGAAACCGCTCGACGTTTCCAATTACTTCAGAATTTACTAGACAAACGCTCTAAACTTCCAATTAATTACAAAAGACTCATATACATGACTACAATAAGGCCTATTTGGACTTACGGAGTTGAGCTATGGGGCTCCCACTAAACCATCGAATTCCTCTCGTATCCAATACTTAAAATCCAAAATCCTTTGTAAAATCCTCAATCCTCAATGCTCCCTACTTTGTTCCAAATAAACCCATCCATAATGACCTTAATGTTTCAGATCTGGCTCATTCCAGATACCTATTCTTCCATAATAAACTAAAGAATCATCCCAACCCTCTCGTTTCTAACCTTGCTTCCTCTTCAATTTCTGAAAATGGCCCCGTGATCACCTAATGAAGACATATCATTAGAATCCTACTATAGGGTAGTTTCTCAGAAAGTGTTTTCAAGTCATTATATCCATATGTTCAAATTTACTAGATGTATTTCTTTAATATAGTTGTAAATATCATTAAGAAATAATAATAATAATATATACATATACATATATATTATTTCTTTCAAATATATATATATATTTATTTCTTACAAATATGCATATATATAATATATATATATATATATATATATATATATATATATATATATATATATATATATATATATATATATTTGTAGAGATTCAGAATCTGCCCTTAAAGCTATTAAAAATTCATTTTCAACTAACTCATTAGTCAGAGACACAGTTAGGCATATACAAACATTGGAGAGTGTAGGATGTAAGATACAATTTTTGTGGTTACCGGTTCACTCAGGTATTAGAGGTAATGAGCTAGCCGATATCATGGCAAAACAAGGAATCACGGAAGGAACTCCAGTAGGGGATGCTTTTCCAAAAGAAGTAGTACCTTTGGTAAAGAGAAAGGCTCTGGAGAAATGGCAGGATCTCTGGCATGTGTTAAGAGACAATAAGTTGAGAGTGATCGAGCCCTCTGTAGTATCAAATCGAGCGGACCATCAGATAAATAGAAGAGAAGAAATAATACTGACAAGGCTCCGAATCGGCCACTCACGGCTAACTCATGAGCACCTGATGAGAAAGGGGACGCCCCCTCAGTGTCTCTGCTGCGGGGTCAATTTAACAGTCAGGCACATTTTGACTGAATGTTACGCATATGAAGCACAACGGAATGAAGTTGAATTGGAGAATGATATAACTGAAATTTTGAAAAATACCACCAAATTGGCAAAAAAAATTGTTTACATTACTTCAAATAACGCACCTATATAACAAAATTTAAAATTTGCTGACTCTTTTTTGGAAATTTTGATTTTTTAAATATTTTGTACTTTCAATTTATTGTTCAATTTCATGTGATGTAATATAAATAATATGTAAGGGCTAAAACGGCTCCTAAGAGGTTGAAGAGTCCGCCATTGTTATAAATAAATAAATATTACTAACCATCATTACTATTACTTACTATAAGACTGTTGATTATTTAAAATAAACAATATTAAAGATACATTTGCTAGAGCCATTTTGAAAATTCTATATTTAATCTGATATTAGTCGATATATTTAGATGAGGCTAAAATCTACCAGATAGAAAAATACATTTAATTGTACATTTACATATCACATAACATACATAGAGACCACTTTGCGAGATTTGTTTATTTGGACCGTTTAAAACGGCCCTTTTTATTTTCTTTTTCTTTGCAATTTTTTTCAAATAAGTAACACAATTTTGACTAGGCTTAAAAGTGGTAAAATATTTGCATTATCTCCAAGAAAGTTTCAATTTTAAGACCACAAATTTGACATTTTATTTTTTTATTTAATGAAAAGTTGAAAACAAACGAGATAAAGAGAGAGAAGTGAGAGAAAGGGAAACTAAATGTTAAAAAACTACATGAACAATGAAAGGAAGAAAAAAAAATGTATATATATATATATATATATATATATATATATATATATTACTAATATAAACTAATTTTTATGTACTAAACTAAAATAACTAATATGTACTGCCGAAGCGAGTTTATTTTATTGTCTATTGTATATACTTTTAATTATTATTTTGTTCTATTTATTTTATTTTTTGTACATATAGTGTGAATGTCATCCTACCTCACTATAACCAATGTCCAACAGACAGATTGTTATAATATTCAATAAAGAAAAAAAAATATACATATATATATATATAAACTAACACTTCTGTATAATTATATATAAGTTCATTTATTGTCCTAAGGATTAAAGAGTATGCTGTGTATATAGCAACCTAATATAAATGGGCAGCAATCCTTTATATTTTTATGAAAATAAAGTGTTTCTCTCTGTTCAATATTTCTTATGGAGGAGTTTTTCGACCATTTTGGTCATTTCAAAAATATTTTACAAATTATTCCGCACTTCCATCTCTGTTTCTTTTTCCGCATCTGGCAATAGACATTTAACGGCATGATGTTCTACAACGGTGTTTTTATTTATTTCTAATTTTTTTCTGGAAAGGATAAAGGACATGAAGGATGCGGATTATATTCCTGGATTGGTCCTTGCCGGATGCAGGACAAGCTGGAGAAAGCGTGACACTTCTGTCACAGCCTTCTTTCATCAATTATTTCTACTCGAGATTCTTTCATTGATAAAGTCCATATGTTAGCAATGTTTAAAAGAATTATTTTAAAGAGTATTATAAGTCACTAGTACACTCCAGTTAACAACTCTCATTGATAAATTTCTCTGTAATACACTCGACGCTTAACTGAAATAAGCGAAATATGTATATTCGAATACACTAACGGATCCAGAATTAAATTTTTTTCTGGGGGAAGGGACAGCTTCAGCTTGAATATATTTTTTAAATATACAAGGTATTTCGTAATTGCACGGCACTATTTTAGGTATGTGTTCACTAACACAAAATAAACAAAAAAGTTCATATTAACATATATCTCAAACTCATTTATTAAACATATATCAAAGGTTAAAGATTTATTATTTATTTACTACATTAAGACTGACTGTACAAAGTTTAACGTGTTTAATACTAAATAACAGGTTTTAATCACCTGATAAACAAATGAACGATAAGCAATGACAGTAGTTGCTCATCTGTTTGTCTAGTTCTGTGTGTTTTAGTGTCAGTGAATACTGTGACACAGTTCAATTTATGATTATCATGGGAGACATCATAAATTTATTCACTTTTGCAGAACAAACAGACATGCTTTTAACTTATGGCGAGGTACATAGAAACGGTGCTGCTGCTGTTCGAAGATATCGTGAAAAATTTCCTAACCGAAGAATACCAAATCGTAAATTGTTTCAGGTAATTGAAAGACGCCTTAGGGGTAATGGCAAGCTAAAACCTATACGAGTAAACGCCGGTCGAAAAGATTTCGACGAACTGCAAACGTTGAAGAAGAAATACTCGATGCTGTTCAGTTATCTCCTACTACAAGTACCAGAAGATTCTCACGTCGTTTCGATGTGATTACCAGCGTATGGCGAACTTTGCGCTAACAACAATTGTGTCCATTTCACATATCGAGTAGGCAAGATTTGTTATCACAAGATTATAACAAGCGCAGAAATTTCTCTCAGTGGTTAATTCGACAATGCACACGAGATCCTAACTTCCTGAACTGCATTTTGGTTACTGATGAATTTTGCTTTACAAGAAACGGCATTCTTAATTTTCGAAATACCCATACTTGGGCTGAAGAAAACCTTGGACATTACCTTTTCTTTAAATGTCTGGTGTGGTCTTTTAAGCGACAACATCATCGGCCCATTCTTTTTGAAATCTAGGTCTTAGTTGCTGTTTTTGGAAAATAATCTTCATGAACTCCTAGAAGATATTCCGCTAGGCATTTGCCAAAGGCTGTGGTAATAGTAATAATAAATAATAAATCATTAACCTTTGATATATGTTTAATAAATGAGTTTGAGACATATGTTAATATGAACTTTTTTGTTTATTTTGTGTTAGTGAATACATACCTAAAATAGTGCCGGGCAATTACGAAATAGACTGTATAACAATAATTACTTTGGAAGAATAAGAAAGAAAATAACTAGCTATATTAAATGGTGTTTATGTGTTTCTTGAAGTTCTAATACTGTAATTATATTAACAATAATAATTTGTGAGATAATTTTATAAGGTGTTTTTCCTATAACATGGTTATATTTAACCATTTGGAGGAGAGCTTCGTCCCGAAAGTAAAGTAAATCCGCATGTGTTCGTATACAATATAACATTATTAAGACAGTCTATTCAACAGACATAATTGATGAAGCTTCATGCTACAACATTACTGTAAAAGTACTAATTTACTAAATAAGTTATTAGGTTGTCCCACTGAGAAATATCTCTCCAGTTTAATTCTTAAACAGTACCGAAAAAACCGAATAAAATGAGCTATTGAACTTAAAAATTGGTCCAGCCGTTTGCTCAAAAAATTGTTACATGCCTTTTGGCGTATTGATTAAAACACATTGTATATAATAATTTACTAGTGTTTTGATTACAAATTGTTTCAAACAAAAATATCTCAAAAAATTATTTGAGTCATCGAACTTTAAAATCGGTCTAGGCTTCGCTTGCTCGAAAAATCGTTACCCACCTTTTTTGAGTATTGATTAAAACATATTATATACAATTATTTCATCAGGCTTTTTGTCAATTTGTTTCAAAACACTTACGGAATGTGTCGAATTTAAAATATTTAAAATATGGCCATTAGCCCAAAACATCGTACAGTCAACTATTGATAATTCGAAATCCAATGGGACTTTAAGAAAAAATGGAATAATCGACCCTTCGAATTATTAAGAAGTTTAAATTATCAAGAGAAAAGAAAAAAAATCGAATTTTTATTATATTTTTGGAAATACGTATGCGCTTATGTAGATTTCATATATACAGTCTCATGTAAAAAATATCAATAGAAAAATTTCAGTTGTCTAGAGGAGAAGTGGTCTAATTCGAATTATTGGACGTTCACTCTTCCCCTCCTTGTTATGAGAATAATTTCGAGTTATCGAGTGTATCAAAGTACAGCATTTTTTTATTTACCGAAGTTAACAGCTGAAGAGTTTGAATTATCGAGAACAACTGTACGTTAATATATTTGGCTTCGTCGTACACGGACAAAAACTTTTTTTTAAAATACATTGATTTATTTCATTTATCAAAAATTTTCAAATATTAATCCAACCATGCTTCGAAAGATGCATTGGTATATAACCAACTGGTGGAGTTTTTCATTAAATTATTTATAAGAAGTAGTTTTAAATGTAATATATTATTTTTGACTTACAAATATATTAAAGACAAACAGTAAAATATATAAAAAAATTAAATTATATTATTTTTTGGTTTTTCATATCATGCGTTTGCTAGTCTGATCTTGATAATTAGAGTTTGAAGAAGAGTGGCGTGGTATGATTTTCATAGGACAGTATATTAAATAATCTCATGTTTGTCCGCAAATATCAAAATAATTTTATCTACATTTTTATGGGGCCTAGCGCCAGTAAACACGCGGCTATTTCCAACTCTATATCATAGTTACGCAAATTATTTTGAGGATCTATTTTTTTTTTTTTTTTTTTTTTTTTTTTTTTTTACGCCTAGACAGTACTTATCTGAGCTATCAATTGAGCGAAATCTCAGGGTTATTAGAAATCAATCTGTCAAATGTCTACTATTTATCTAGGCCTGTCTAATTTATCATAGAAAAACCAACGGTCATTGTTGTTTATCATAGTTTAACCGCTCCTCTCTATCTCGTTAAGAGCAAATAAAATTTACTTACAGAGACGTTCCATATATATGTTGACATTACAGTTCTTATAGATTTTTGCAGCCTTAACCAGCCTTCCTATATTCCTATATTCCTCCATCTCTGCCTATCTTGGGAGATTTCTTTAAAGTTATTTGTATGCAGCTCTATTGCATGTTTATTGATTGGATCTATCCATCTGCTTTTTGGCCTTCCATGTGATCTTGCACCTACTATTAAGGCATTCATAGTTGTGTAGAGGCTTCCTGATGCTTCAAGCCAATCGCAACCTCTTAGCCTTCATATCATGAGTTCTTGATTGACCAGATTCTGCAAGCAGCTCTTTACTGATGTTTCTCCTTCATGAGTTAGTACTCTGATCCCAAATAGCTTCGGTTATCGTGTGTAAGATTTTTATTTCAAATCTTTTAATTTCTAGGATGCTTTCTAGGTTAATGCAGTTAATATTACAGCCGTATACTAGAACTGGCTTTAACATAGCATTGTACGCCCTTAATCAGAGAGTTCTTGAAGTTTTTCGGTATTCTAATACCTTTCAAAGAGAGAAAAAAAACTTTTCATACGCTAGTTTATTTCTGACTGTTGATCATTTATTCACGTTATAGACCCCTTTTTATCGAATTATTAACATCAGCCTGAAACAACGTAAATAGTTTCATCTCATCGTAACCTACAACTGTTTTATTTACGAAAACTTTTGAAATTCGGGCGTTTTCAATCTGGAGGGGAGGAGGTAAACTCTGTTTATTTAATTAGGTACTAAAACTCGTAAATACCCATTTGCTTTCTACTTGGATCGTAAGATAATTTGATCAATAAATCGAGAAAAAAGATGTCCATCAAAAATATTGAGCCGTTTGGCGTGACCAACACCCTCTAATTTTCAAAATAACGAAGTTATATAGGACAATATTTTTGTAGACCGCTTTTGTTTTATCGATTTTGTGATCAAATTATGTCATGGTCCAAGTAGAAAGCAAATGGGTATTTACGAGTATTTGTACCTAGTTAAATAGACAAAGTTTGCTCCCCTCCAGATTGAAAACGATAGTTAGTAGAAAATAAAATAGTTGCGGATTACGATGAGATGAAACTATTTACTTAGTTTCAGACAGATGTAAATAATTCGATAAAAAGAAGTCTGTACCACGGAATATTATTGTGAATTTGAAATATTGGTGCGCTTAACCTATTGTTCTAACAAAACAAATTGTTCCAGCAAACAAGAAAATTAAAAAATCTTTTTGAATCTTAGTTGTCGCGTATATTTGGTGTATGCTGTGTGGAGTATCTATCGTTCATCCCATGAATAAGAAAATACAATTATTATAAAGCATGTTTTATATATATATATATATATATATATATATATATATATATATATATATATAACATATATATATATATATATATATAACATATATATATATATATATATATATATATATATATATATATTTATATATATATATATATATATATTATATATATATTTATATATAATATATATATATATTTATATATATATATATATATATATATATATATATTTAAGTACGAAAAAACAAAATTCTGATATTGATTTTATTGAAATATTAAAATAGAGAGTTAAGATAAAACATCTGTTAGACTATCTTTGTACTATAAAAATAAGTTGAAGTAATGTATTAATGTTCTTGATGTCAGTCTCAATAATTTGATAAGTAAATAAAGTAAATGAAAATGTAACGGTTATATTTTTTATTGTAAATAGAAAACCTTATATTCAACAAAAAAAATGTGATATCATGTACATACGTTAAAAGAAATATACATTTAAATAAAAAAGAAATCGTAGAAACATTTTACTTTATTATTTTCAACAATGAACCTATGTACTATGAAAAAAATATAATTCCTTCAAAATTTGAGATTCTACGTAAGATATTTAGAATTCAAAATTTAATTTTAAAATGATAGCTATCTATTTTATATTTATATCCTTCTCACAGTATAAATCAATACTAGGTGATTGACAGAATGAAATATCTTAAAAATATTAGATAGTATAAAAGGATGTTTGATTTTATATAAATGATTGAAATTTCCTGATGATAATACAAGCTTAGATATATCGATTGTTTTATAGGTTTATTTTATTCCTTCCTGGTATTAGTTGTTTTTAAAAAACTTGAAATATTTCCCTAATGCAAAAAGATATCAAATGACATTCGATCAATGTCAGATTTGTTTATTTATTTTATAATGAAACATTTATACCGAACAACGTAAAATATTTTTTTTCTTATTAACCTTAGGATAGGTTATTAATTTTTTTTTTTGATCGAATATTTTTTTTATTTGAAGTTTTTTTAACATCACTTCAAATGCGATGATCTTTGACGAAAATTGGTCTTCTTGAATATTGTTCATTGATTTTATTTGTTTAATGTAGTTAAGTGTTTTTTTCGTTGTTTTCTTTATAGAGAATAATGTTTTCAATTTTTAATGTTGAACAGTAAGATTTCCATTGTCCACACGCTTGGCAAGTCGGTTGGCGAAGGCCTAGAAGAAAGTGTAGAAGAATGGTTCGGTTTGGTTTGTCCTATCCTTAGCCTGCTAATTGCAAAGCATTCTTTTGATGTTAGGTGCTATGTTAGAAATTAAGCATGGTTTCCCTTTGCACAAGCAGAGTAAATGGTAA